CTCCTCCTAAGTTTGCGTTTGTCGAAATTTGCATGCGCGAGCCGGTATGCGCAGTGCAAATTTTTGTGTCGATTTATGGCAGGCATCTCACCAAACTTTTTCCCACCACCCGATTCGTCGGGTGAGATGCCTGCGGAGGAGGCTAGTACGTAGTTAACTTGACATAATTATTCTAAGCAATATTCCGCATCGATTGACGGTGTCCAATTTTTCATTTTTGACTTTAGATGCAAGATATAAGCAATTTTTTACTGTATTTGTAGCAAATAATATATACATATCTCAGCAAATATATCAGCAAACGCAAACGATAAGAAAGACATTTTTATCACTGCACATTTTTGTGCAAAGTTTAGCCGAGCACTAGAAGCACGCCCTGGAAATTTCTGAACACACCCTTATAATAATGTGTATGACAACAAAGCAGGCTACAATTCATATTCAAAAATGCCCAAACGAACATACACTGCACAGCACTCGGGGAAATTTGGGGGCCCAGGACAAACTTTGACTTGGGGGCTCTCGTGATTCCATGTTCTAACACTATGATTAGGGGTCAGGGGGCATCCCCCGGAAAAATTTTGAAATCTGAGGTCCCAGAAATGGCCAAATCCTGCATTCTGGAAGTCTAGTTGACAGTTATATCTATATGTATATTTCACCGCAATTCTTTATTTGGGCCCTCCTTTAACTGGGGTCCCAGGGCAAATTGCACCCATCTGGGCGGCCTTGACAGCACCGGTTACGACATCTGTGACAGCTTGACTGAAGAAAATAAGTATTTTCGTCTTGGCAAATGAAAGGGCGGCTTACGGGCGTAGGCGTGACAAACTTTTAGAGGAGTTCCAGTGACATGCACCCACAGACAATTTTGTAATCTATAGGCACTATAAGAGGGCATCTCCTGCAATGCGCGGGGACATTCTATAGAATTCTGAAAAGTATACAGTAATTACAAAATCTTATGTATCATTCACTCCATCTTCCAAACTCATAAAGAGATCTTTGGTGAGAGACTTTGTTCATCTGATGAACCATAAGTATCTTATTAGTGCGGACGTTCAATAATTTGGCAGTCATCATTTCAATTAAATCATTCTCACTCAAAATGTTTCGCCGGATTAGTTCAGTTTTTCTGCTCATTGTCTCACTTTCTTAATTTCTTGTGTTAATTAACAATTTTATCAAAGCAAATTCTATCACTGCACATTTTACATTTTATGACTGCACATTTTACTTTTATCACTGCGCAAATTGGTTATCACTGCACACTAAAATTAGGTATGCGATCACAACAGTCTAAAGCTTCTCAAGAATGTGAACGACTAATTATAACGATTAATTATAAGGGTTAAGTTGACTAAATTTAACGTGGCTTAGTTTCTCAAAGCACAGAGGAGTAAAGGCGGATTTCCAGTCCTCGCACGAAGCTCCTCGCAACTCGCAGCGAGTGCATGCATCTAATTAAAATTAACTGTTTTGCATTGTGATTGGATGAAAGTGCTCATGCATCACTGGCAGCGAGCTGCGAGGAGCTTCGTGCGAGGACTGGAAATCCGCCTTAAGTGCTTTCATCCAATCACAATGCAAAACAGTTAATTTTTATTAGATGCAAGCACTCGCAGCGAGGAGCTTCGTGCGAAGACTGGAAATCAGCCTTTAATATCGTTAAGCAGGTTTCAAACGTCGCGCTTGTCATGTGCCGAACGCATTAAAAACAATAGTAATCAGCTGAACTGCCTCATTATCTATTGTTTCTAATGCGTTCAAGATTTTCAAAAAATAAGTTTAAAAAATTTTTAAAAAAATTTTAAAAAGTTAGATTTTCAAAAAAGTTTAAAAAGTTAGATTGGGGTTAGGGTTAGGGGTTAGTGGTTAGTGGTTAGGGGTTAGATGCCGCGAATTTATCATTATGATAAATTCAATACGTGTCGCGAATTTATCATAATGATAAATTCGGGCATATAGTAAATACTCATATATGAAGCTATCGAAAGTGGGGAATGGCATAGATGGTTTGAGCAGTGTAGACCCAAGGTAGATGACAGTTATGAAAGCGGAAATCAAGATGAGGAAGATAACCAAGAGACTAACCACGTAGAACCAGGGCATGAGAATGGAGGCGAAGTAAGCAGCGCAAACGACTGCCCCGGATATTGCATTCCTCGTCGATCACAAAGGCTACGAAGACCTAACCCCGGATATATTGACTATGAAATGTAACATTTCACAATGATGGGTAGCTATATTTAAGGACTAACATAACTTTATCAGTATTATGGACTTTAACATTCAATTATTTATATTATATACATATAATTGTTTTCTGTTAAAAGGGGGGATAAGGTACCCTGTATTTATATTTAAATGAAGTACTTAGTGGTGTCATGTACATATACGGCGGACGGGGAGAACGGGTATTCAAGTATGGCGGGTGAAAAAATGTTAGATATTATTTGATGTAGAGTGAAGAAAATATTGATTAAATTGAACTTATATTACACTCCTTCCTACTTGATGTTTAATATGAACGATGATAACCTTTTTAAGAGAAATCTAGAGCACTATGTCTATAAACAGTTTTAGAATCAATACTCAATAGAATGGACCGATTTAATGTCTATTTGGTTAGTGTCCAATTAGTCCAAATGACTCAGGGCATTTTTTAAGAATTCGTCAGTGGAGGGGCCATTTACAAAAACGGACCATACTATACCGAGTGTGGAGAAATGATAGATGGTAACAAAAAGTTTGGTGTGGTATCCCATAAAATAGTAGGGGGGGGGAGGGGAGGGATCTTGAGGTATTCTTCCCCAGAAAATGTTTGTATTTTTCTACCCCTATGACTGCAATTCTGAAACAGATTTTTGGATATACAGCATTACATTATGCTGTATGTAGATAGACTGAACCTTCAGTTATGTACTTGCATAGTATGTTTATGTAGATACCACAACTTGGTCATTCAGGGAACCAGCTTGATAAACTTATAGGGCCCGACTCCCACGAAGCGCCACCATGGTTGGCACAGAGCGGGAAAATTTTGAGAATTTTGCGTCTCTAAATCGTCGGAAATGGCATTTTCAAAATCTTCTCTACCTCTTTTGTTAGGCCCTTTCATTAATTCGTTCATTATGATTTGTGAGTCTATGCTATCCGCGAGTCAGGATAGATTATAAGGAGAAATGTTGTTATCAAAATATCGATTACAGATATTTGATTATATATATATATATATATACATATATATATATATATATATATATATATATATATATATATATATATATATATATATATATATATATATATATATATATATATATATATATATATATATATATATATATATATGAATACATTTGAATTTTCGCGCTGTTGTTGGAAGCAGAGGGAAACGGACCCCCAACCCAGTGTTTTATAAAGGGGGATAATTTTGGCCCCCCACCAAAAAACCCAATTGATTTCGAAACTAGAAGTATTTGAAATCGTATATATATATATAAAATGCCTGGATTACAAATCTTCAAATCTATTAAATATTATATATATATGTATATATATATATATATATATATATATATATATATATATATATATATATATATATATATATATATATATATATATATATATATGTTTATATATATATGTTTATATATATATATATATATATATATATATATATATATATATATATATATATATATATATATATAATTCAGTTTCTTTGAACGTATATGTAGTGAAGAGTGCTCAATATTACAAAATAGAGCGATTTATTAATACTTAAAATGTTTTTGTTGCTACTCCGAGTTTCATGCCGTAAAGGCAATCATCAGGCAACAGTTTTTGCTTCTGAATGTCAGTTTGTTGATGTTTGCTGACGATACTCGCTTGCTTACGCATGTACATAATTTCATAAATTGCGCGCGCGTATATATAATGTCACGCGCGGTCGTAATTCCCCGCTAAAAATCTTTTTTGGTGTTGGCACTTTGAGAAAATCTCGGATCTTGAATTTAGCACGAGTTTCTTGTTTGCTTTCAGGATGCATAGTTTCTCTTGAGTGCACAAGCTACACTGTTTTCCACCGCTTGAATACGGCGCGGCATGTTTTAAAATTGACCAGGTTAAAGTGAAAGGTCGTCCGCTTTCTTTTAGCTTCCAAATGTATTTAGACAGTTCCGTCTCGTTCTTGTAAGTGTCGTTCGTAAATGACTTTTTGTGGTTTCTGTAACGTTCTTTAAAAGAATTTGCAGTCATCCCGATGTAGCGTTTAATTTCTCCGTTATCTCTTGTTGTGACTTCAGCTTGATAAACAAGGCTGCTTTCAAGGCAATGCTTTCCAAGTGGGCATTCATTCGCTTTTCTGCAGTTGCATTTCTTTTCAAGTACGGCTCCGGCTGTTGTGTTAGAAGTGTTTGTAGCGTTTGTTGTCTTCGAGAGAATGCGGTGGTTGTGTCTAGAAACGGTGCTTTTTACATTTTCCATGCAGGAGTAACTCACTTTGATTGTATTGCGGTTGAAGATCTTGTGGAGCCTGCTCGATTTCGGAAAATGCTTGTCAATGAGCTGCAAGAAGTTCTTAGCTACATTCGTCTTTACATTCTTGCTGTAAGGTGGGTTGAACCATATGATCTTTCGTTGGCGATTTCTTTTTGGTTTGCTGGTCGCGTTGTTGTTGGGAACGTAGTTGAGATTAGCGTCGTAATTACTCCGGTGGAGTGCATTTTTGTATAGTGGGACAGATGTGTCAAAAGCTGATTGGTTCGATGATAGTTGCGAAATTCGTTTGTTTATGGACTGTGGTATCTGTCTGATGATTGATGGAGGGTGGTTGGAATGGCTGTTTATATACAAGGGTTCGTTATCGGGTTTTCTGTAAGGTTGGTAACTTTCATTTCTAAGGTCAAGTGTAACGTCGAGGAAGTTTACTTTCTGATAGTTGACTTGGCTCGTAATCTTTAGATCGTATTGGCGGAAGAGTTTGCATAGATCTTTTCGTGCATTGTCTATCACGCGTCCACTCTTTCCTCCCATTAACGCCAAGCCGTCGTCTCTGTACAGTCCGACGAAATCTTTGCCGAACTTCCTCGAGAGGTCGTTTAGGATGTAGAGGCCAACTAGTTCGCATATCTCGGCTCCGTCGAAACATCCCATTGTCACGTCAAATAAGGAATTGTTATTTCGTTTCATCCAAGGATTTCCATTGTTGAAAAGAAATGATTTGCGTGCGTGTTTGATCGTAATAATGTGTTGCTTGGGAATATTGTCATCGTTTGTGCCCATGAGATTGCCCTATCGAGAAGATCTTCTGTGATAGAGGGATAGAATTCTGTAATATCGAAGGTCAAGAATGAGTATTGAGTTTTGTTGCTAATGTTGTTCAACCATTTAATTACTGACTGAGTGTTTTTCCATTGATTGATCCTGGATTTCGTACGGATTGTGTCGTTGATGTTGTCCAAGATGATTTTGCTGACTTTTCCTAATTCGCTCTTTGCTGGATTTATCAACCTATACGTTGGGTTAACCTCGAAATTTTCTTTATGGTCTTTGATGGTGATGAACGCTTCTTGTTTTCTCATAGTCTCAATTCGTCTATTGAAGCTGTATTCGCCGTATTCAAGCGCCGTATTCAAGCGGTGGAAAACAGTGTAGCTTGTGCACTCAAGAGAAATTATGCATCCTGAAAGCAAACAAGAAACTCGTGCTAAATCCAAGATCCGAGATTTTCTCAAAGTGCCAACACCAAAAAAGATTTTTAGCGGGAAATTACGACCGCGCGTAACATTATATATACGCGCGCGCAATTTATGAAATTATGTACATGCGTAAGCAAGCGAGCATCGTCAGCAAACATCAACAAACTGACATTCAGAAGCAAAAACTGTTGCCTGATGACAACAACTTAGATTGCTAACTAAGTTAGCTACTCCTGCATGGAGAATATCAAAACCATAATATCCCGACATATCCATCGCCTGTTAAAGAAAAACCCTACACAAAAACCTGTCCCATGCAAACCTGTCCCATGCAATATATATATATATATTGCAATATATGTAATATATATGCAATATATATATATATATATATGCAAAACCATGCAATATATATATATATATATGCAAAACCTGTTCCATGCAATATATATATATATATATATATATGTTAGTTGATAATTTAACAGGACGCGGAAATATTTACAAGCCATAACATAACACCAAGCTATTAAGATTGCGCGGTATATTTAAAACAAAAATATGTCTGTCTCGAGTGCATGCTCTTTAAATGTTAGCTAAAAGAATTAAGACATTAATTCATTACGTTTGTTCAAAGTAGCCAGTTCGAGGGTAATGTTTCGACGAATCCCCCGAGCGGAAGGTCTATAAATGGTATATTACCGAACGTCTTCGGTATGAAATTACAAACAACAGGTCGCGAATGCCATATTGTTTCAGAGCATATAGTGTCCACACGTCACGCGTGAGCGTGAGATACTATAATATCCCATGGTAGATCTACCGTGGGATATTATAGTATATCTCACGCTA